GGAAAAGAGAAATCAAGCGAGATAGCACAAGGCCCAGATAATGCCCTCAACACGTTCTTTGACGGCATGGATATGGCCGCACTGGAGGACTTCTCCGGTCTTGGTTACCTGGAGGTCCAAAAAAAGACGTACCATGGGAGCGGGCGGGCCGAGTTTGAGCCCAAAACTAGTGAAGCAATTCCCTGCTCCAAGCGTGGACCCCTACCCCAAGAGAATGGTCGTTCTCACAATCCCGACGGACACTCGGGTCATGTACGCTCCGGTGGGTGTAGCCAGCTACCTTCGATGCCTGGTGACCGAGGAGGAACAGAAAAAGATGAATGAAGTGGGCACGTTGAGCCTCTTCAACGAGGCGCAACAGGCGCTGAACCGGGTAAGGCGTTTACCCCTCGTACCCTTTTGTGAGTCTTGCTTGGCTTTAGACTTGTTCTAATAACTTCATTGTGTTTTAGGATTTAGTGCTTCATAATGAAAACATCCTTTGGTCCCTTTCGGAGATCAGCCATCTCGAGTTCGAGATCAAAGAGAAAGTCCGGAAGAAGGACATGTACTGGGCTCTCTATGAGCAACAAGCTGAATCCCTTAAGGACCTCCCAATTCTACAAGCCCAGCTGGAAAAGGCTCAGAAGGAGGCTTCGTTATTGAAGCAGGAGCATGATGACCCGATCGAGAATGTAAGGATCTTTGAGGCTAAAAACAAGAAGCTAGTCATGGTGACTAACAACACAACTTCACAGGTCCAAGAGAAGATAGACCTGATCGACTAGCTTCGGGCTGAGATGGATGGGGTCAAGGCCACGACCAAGGTGTGGAAGGGAAGGATGGACCTTCTGGCTTTGTAGAAAGAAGCTGCAAAAGTAGAGTTGTCATTGGCCGAGAACCATCTCCGAGTGGCAAATGACAAAGCCGATAAATGGTCTCAGCTAAATGATGATCTTCGGGCACAGCTGAGATCGGCCGTCACGGAACGGGATGACTTTGGACAAGAATATGCCGCACTAAGGTCCAAGTTGGATGCAACCTCTTCTGACATCAAGGAAATATTGGCCCAGTATAAGGCTGATGTGGTAGTAGTCGAGGCCCACTTAAAGACGAAGACTGAGTACATAAAGCGGCTATCCCAAAGAGCGACCCTCGAAGAGATCCATGCCCGAGGTTTTGATTAGTTTGCCAAGATTAAGGAAGCGAAGAGACTTGAGGCGGAGGAAAAGGAACTCTACAAGCCTGAGGGTCCCGAAGGCTCCAAGGATTTCGAGGGTTTTGAGGGTTCCGACGGTTCTGGCGACGAGTCGAGCCCCGGTGGGGACCCGACGTAACTGCCTTAGTTCTTTTTAATTTTTCTTTGTGTATTTTCTTTTTTGTTTATTTTGAGGCGGTTTTATCATGCCTTTGTGAATATTTTTGGAATATATAAAAATTTTCCCTTTTTGGCAATATCGTATCTTTACTTTCCAGTATCTATTTGTAACTTTTATTTGCGTATCGATTTTAGTGCCTTAGCATAAAATCAAATGCAGTCTAGAACATCCATTCTTCTGAGGCCTAAAAGATTTTAATGGAGATTGCGGATTACTTGTGGCTTCGAGTCTTCGACAAAACCGAAGGCCTTTAAGATGCTTAAGTATCTTAGACAATGTCTTTGTCGAGGTAACCTTTTAATAGGTTTCAATTTTCATAAGGGACTTACTCTTTGAGTACGGACTCCGAACATCTCCGAGCCATTTTCGGGGTGGCTGTAGCCTTTCGTATTCGGGCACTGCCCAATAAAGCTTGGTGCCTCCAAGATTCAGTAGCCCGACAGTCCCCGAATAGGGGTAGCCCATGGGCTTGATAGTCCTCGGGTAGGGTTAGCCCGTGGTCTTTAGGATCCAGGATCGGAGAAGTAAAATGCGTAGTAATAAAGTGTAAGGGAAGTAGAAATTTCTTTCATTGCTTAATATGTAAGGTACATGGTCGAAGGCGTACTCTTGTGTTGTGGCTATAGTGGGCTATGTGGGCACGGTTCGTATGACTGTTTGACTCTTATTGAATCCTAATCACCAAGACTTAGAATTTGGCATATAAAAAAAAATTCCCTTGCTAAAGGTCTTAGTCTAGGGGTAATGGCCCCCAGTATTCAAGGTCGGACTTGTGAGGGCTCAGATATTGTTGATCTGATGCAAATGATCATGGATTCCGGTTTAAGTCCAGTCTTCAAATCTAAGTTAGTACCTTTTACTATTGCCTTGTTAAAAACCTTGCCAAAAAATCCACTTCGAGATAAAACTGGTTCAAGGAAAAAAGAGTGCAACTCGTGCTTTCATACCCAATAGCCACATCCGCCCCAGGCCGTGTACCTGTATGCATTAGTCCGTAATGTAGCAAAATAAAAAAGGAATTAAGTCCCCACCTTAGCAGTAGTACTGCTTTAAGTGTGCCACATGGTAATTGTACACCGTTTCCCGCTTCGAGTTTATATGAACCTTTGTCGGTTATTCCGACAACTCGATACTGTCCTTCCTAATTCGGGCCCAGTTTCCCTTCATTTGGGTTCTTGGTGTGTAGTGTTACCTTTATCAATACCAAGTCCCCGACTTGAAAGTGTCGGAGGATGGCTCTTCGGTTGTAATACCTTTCTATTCATTGCTTCTGGGCGGCCAATCGGACCATGGCGGCCTCCCGCCTTTCATCCAATAGTTCTAGGCTGGTGATCATGACCTCGCCATTTGACTCTCTGGTATAATACTAGAACATGAGGCTCGGTTCGCCTACCTCGACTGGTATCAAGGCTTATGCATGATATTCCTTAACAGGTAAGAGGTTACGACACATATAGGGTGGCAATGAAAGTACAGCTTTAGCTTCCTAGAAGTGCTTAGCAAAGCGAGCGCTAAATTTTCCAAGTGAGGATACCTTGATTCGGCCTCGCCTAGAGTTCTACTGACATAGTAAATAGGGAATTGCATACCTTCTTACTCCAGGACTAAGACACCACTTACCACCACCTCGAAAACCGCCAAATAGAGGTACATCTATTCGTCTGCCTTCGAAGTGTGCAACATGGGGGCTCGACAGATAACGTTTGAGTTCTTCCAAAGCTTGTTGGCATTCCAAGGTCCAGGAAAAGTTGTTCTTCTTCTTCTTCAATAGTGAGAAGAATCGATTGCTCTTGTCTGAGGACCTCGAGATGAGCCGACCCAATGCGGCTATATGCCCAGTCAGCCTTTGAACTGACTTGACATTGTCCACCACGATGATGTCCTCTATGGCCTTTATTTTGTCGGGGTTGATCTCGATCCCCTGATTGGATACCATGAAACCGAGGAATTTGCCCGATCCGACCCCGAATGTGCACTTCTCCGGGTTTAGCTTCATCTTGTATATCCTTAATATGTCGAAGGTTTCTTACAAATGTTTCAAATGGTCCTCCGTTCGTAGGGGCTTAACCAATATATCGTCAATATAAACTTGCATTAGTTTCCCTATTTTTTCTTTGAACATCTGGTTTACTAGGCGTTGGTAGGTGGAAACGACGTTCTTTAATCCAAACGGCATTACGTTTTAACAATAGGTGCCGAATTTGGTAATGAAAGAAGTCTTTTCTTGATCGTCCGAGTCCATTCGAATTTGGTTGTACCTGGAGTAGGCATCAAGAAAGCTGGGTATCTCGTACCCGACCGTCGCGTCAATCATTCGATCGATGTTAGAAAAAGGGAAAGAATCCTTAGGTCATGCTTTGTTTAGGTCTATGTAATGCACACACATTCTTAGTTTATTTCTCTTTTTAGGCACTACCACTACGTTAGCTAGTTAGTACGGGTACTTAACTTCCCGGATGGATCCTATTTTTAGAAGTTTGGATACCTCATCTTTGATGAACACATGTTTGATCTCGGACTATGGCCTTCTCTTCCGCTTAACTGGATGGAACTTTGGGTCCAAACTCAGCTTATGAGTGGTTACCTACAGTGGAATCCTTGTCGTGTCAAGATGGGACCAAGCGAAACAAACATCATTAGCTTTAAGGAAATCAATAAGTTTTTTCCTAAGCTCGAGGGTTAACCTCGTGCCCAGGTATACCTTTTGATTCGGTAGGTGTTCGATAAATATGACTTGCTCGAACTCTTCAACCATCGATTTGGTGGCGTCAGTATCATTAGGAACTATGAATGATCTCGGAACACTGTAATCGTCCTCCTTGTCTGCTCCTCGTTCCTCTTGTTTCCCCAGTTCAGCTGACACCAGTATCAATGATTGCTATTTAAGCCCTTCCTTTCTGGTTGGTTCCGCGTTCCTTGATACCAAACCCGCGGGCCAGGGACTACCCTATCGATAGCAAACATCTCCTTTGCGGTAGGCTATTCTCTGTAGACCGTCTTGACTCCCCCGGTGTGGGAAATTTCAATGCCTGGTGTAAGGACGAGGGTACCGCCCTCATGTTTGAACACATGGCCTTCCGAATAGAGCGTTGTACCTTATGTCCCCCTCGATCAAGTAGAACTTTGTTTCTTAGATTGTCCCAGTGGTGTTCATTGGCAAGGTTATTTATCCTTTAGTGGTTTCACAAGCCATGTTAAATCCATTCAACACCCGTACCACTTGTACAATTTGGTCTTGTAACCCTAATTGCTCCACGACCCTCGATCTAATGATGTTGGTTGAGCTAACTGGATCAAACAGCACATGAATAACTCGAGATTAATTGATAAGCAGGGATATTACCAGCGTATCATTGTGAGGCTGTATGATGCCCTCGGCATCTTCGTCACTGAACAAAATGGCTCCCTCCGGGACATAAGCCAGGGTGAGTTTTTCCCTTGTGATATATACTTTAGTGCGCTTTATCATTGGTCCTTGGGGGATATTGACTCCTACAACGATCATGTTGATCACGTGTTGAGGCTCCTCTTGTTCGACTTGTTTGTTAGCGTCCCTGTTCCTAAAGTGGTTTTGGCTCGATCACTCAAAAATTCTTGAAGGTGCACGTTGTTGAATAACCGGGCAACTTCTTCTCTTAATTGTCAGCAATCTTCGGTCATGTGGCCGTGAGTGCCATGATACTTACGCATCAAATTGGGATCTCTCTGTGTCGGATAGGACTGCAGAGTTCGGTGCCACTTGGTCTCCTTAATGTGTCCTATGGCTGACACGATGCTAGCAGCGTCCACGTTGAAGTTGTATTCCGATAATCTCGGTGCTTCCCTGCTCCCTAGCGGCCTATCGAACCCATTTTTGCTCATCAGGCCTCGGCCACCTCGATCTCTTCTCTGCCCGTTCCTTGCGGGATGACGCCCAGATTCGTTTCCCCTTCGGTCTGCATTGTATGATTGATACTGGTCTCGGATCAGTCTTGGCTCTTGATCAATGGCCCTCTTAGACCTATCTTTGGGTCTGATGGGGTAAATAGATCCAGAAGAGGCCCCGAGTTGGTCGTCCTCGACTCTGATCTTTGACTGGTACCGGTTTGGACGTCAGCGCAGGTTACCGCCGGGTGTTCCACTAAAATTTGTCTTAGCTGTTGAGAGCCAAGGAACTTCGGGGGTTGAGCCCCTAAGTAAACGCCTAAACAGCCTAATCATCTACAACCGGAGGTAAGTCTATCCGTTCCATCTGGAACCTCGACATGAACTCCTTGATCATCTCGTTATCCCTCTGTTTGACCTTGAAAAGGTTTGACTTTCTAGTCTCGACCTTGATGGCCCCGGCATGGGCTTTTACGAAAGCATCTACAAGCATAACAAACGAATCAATGGAATTTGGGGGCAAGTTGTGATACCATATCATTTCTCCCTTGGACAAAGTTTCCCCAAACTTCTTTGGTAATGCCGACTCAATCTCATCTTTTTCCAGATCGTTCCCCTTGATTGCGCATGTATAGGAAGTCACATGCTCGTTTGGATCCGTGGTCCCGTTGTATTTGGGGATGTCGGGCATACGTAACCTATTTGGGATCGACTTTGGTGCAGCGCTCCAGGGAAGAGTCATCTCGATAAATTTTCTGGAGTTCGGTCCTTTCAATATCGGGGGTGCCCCCAGGATCTGACAGACCCTGGAGTTGTATGTTCCCACCTTCTTGTCATTAGCCTCAATCTTTTTCTCACCTGACTCCACTCGTTTTGGCAACTATTCGAGCTTCTTCATCACCTCGAGATTTACCCCGAGCTCAGCTTCACCTGGTCTCTCGATAATTTTCTCATCTCTTTTAGTGCTATCCCGGGATCGTTCAGGCTCGAGCCTGTTGGGGGCGTGGCGTTGATTCTGCAGCTGCGCTATCACTGCCTGTTGAGCCTGCAATATTTCGAAGATAAGCTGCAGGCTTACCCCCATCGCCTTCGCCTTCGGGCACTTCTCGAGCTATTGGTCGGGGTCCTCGCGAACACTATTTTCGGGATCAGTTGGCAAATTGACGTTGATGGCCACCTGCGAGTTAGCGTCGACCGGATCAGCTGGGACACCATTGGCATCGACAGGGGCACCTAGTTACTGGGCACCAAATTATTGTTTTCGCCGTGATGGCCAAACTTAGTGTCAACGTTCAAGTGAGCAAACTGAGAATTTGACATTTTTGTGCAAACCTAAAATTAAGACTTGAAAGAACAAGCGTAAAATAGGGTTTGTTATGGAGGTTCGTATCAAATCACCACTATTATCCTTAGCCCCACGGTCGACGCCAAACTGTTTACCCCAAAATAGGGTAACAATCGAATTTGTGCGTGATTTTAAGGATATGTGGTTTAATCCAACATGAACAATTAAGAATATCAAATAAATTAGTTAGAAATGAAATAAACGTTCAAACTAGTTGCCATATTATGGCCAAGCCTGAATTTAGGCTGACTAATGACCTTACCCTCAGTTGGACCCTCGGTTCAAGCCCAGTCATGAATGAAGAACAGAACAAATGAGCAAAACTTGAACAATAGCTAAAAGGCAGAAAATAAATTTGTGTCACACCTCTTTTTTACACACCCCGGAAGGGGATATAAGGGAGTTTTTCCAATTAAAGTGATATTATTTGAAATGGGATTATTTGATTTAATCAAAGTCGCCACTTGAAATATTTTAAATGGTGTCCCAAGTCACCGATTTATTTTATATCCCAAATCGAGGAAATTTCAACTTTCCTTTTGAAGTCTGCGAACCAGAAATTCTGAGTAAGGAATTCTGTTAACCCGGGAGAAGGTGTTAGGCATTCCCGGAATCCGTGGTTCTAGCATGGTCGCTTAACTATTATAATTAGCCTATTATATGATTTTAATACATGTTTTAACCTATGGTATATTTTAACTTATTAGCCGCTTTTAATTAATTTTTGGAAGATTCAACGTTATCTAAAACACATCTTGAACCACGCCACATGAAATGCACCCGCGGTCCATGACACATTTCATTTAACGTTGTTGAGAATTGGAGTTGGGTCACATAAAATGCACACCCGAATTTAGGAAATTAATTTAAAAATAGCGCGCCTAAAGCAACTACGCACTTTAAAGTTAATAACAAGGTTTGCGAGGGCCATGAAAAATTCAACTAATGGCACACCTCGATTTCTTAAAAAGTTATTATTAATTATCCGAGGGCCATGGGTTATCTAATATTGCATTATGGCACACCCCAAGTCTAATTTTTAAAGGATGTTTGAACTAATCTTTTGAGGGCCATAAATTATATCTTGCCTAATATGGCACGCCTCAAGTCTAATTGTTCAAATGATCTCTTATTTTTAATCATGAGGGCCATAAACTATTGGTGTTATTTAATATGGCACACCTCAACTTAGGTAAACGAATTATTTAAAACAACATAATTAAAAGCAATTGACTGCGTGACTACCAGTTACAAAAAAAAGGTGTTGGGCTTCTAGACTGGAATAGGCCCAAGAGAATGAATGGGTGAAGGGCAGTCCAGGCAATTAAGTCTTCTCACTGACTGGGCCAGCGTTGAGCCCAACTCTCATAACAGAAATTCATACAAAATGATTTAAACACAGATCAACTAAGGCTTCATGCCATCTGAATTTGAATTAACTTTTTTCAAGAGCTGTCGTTAAAATCCTTTACTCGTTGAGCCCAACAAACTCTCTTAAGAGAATTAGCACCTGCTGAAAGCCATGAGGCCCCAGGTCGAGCCCATAATAGGGCTAAGCCCAGCAGTAGCAATCAAGTGAGCTACTAGGCTCGAGAAGTAGGCCCGAAGTGAATCCCCATTCATGACAAAGAAATGACAATTAAATAATATGGCAACACTTAAACTTTGGAAGGGACCATTTGAACTCAACTGACTAACAAAGATGCACAATAATTATGAGGTGAACAGTAGGCTTTGAATGCTATAAAACCAAATCACATGTCTAAAAGAAATTCAGTTCTTTGAATTCAATGAAGGCAGAATTGTATAGCATCCTTATTTGATCCAATCCCCAAACTAACATATAAACAACTAGAACGAACTTTAAACCTTAACCCAAACCTTTTGATACAAGCAATGAACGAAAATTTTATGAAAATGACATGCTAACTATTCTGAATCCAGAAATCATCAGTCTTCAGTAGAATCAAACAGAAGAAACAAACACAAACATCTTATACTACATCTGCAACAGAAGCAAAACTAACAGAATTCCCATAAAACTAAACTAGTACAACACATGAAAGAAATGGAGAAGCACAAGAAATAAAACTCAAATACGACTTGTATTCAATCAGGGTTCCATTCGAAATACATGTTCACATTTACTTATTGTCCATGATTTGAAAAATACCTGGAGTGCAATAGAAAAAACAAGGAGTTAGCAGCAGCAGCAAAATCAGCTTAAAACCAGGAATAGAATAGTGCCAAGCAGCAACTCAAACCAAACTTTTAACCCCAAACTCATGCCATTTTCCACCCAGATGCATGACTTTGAAGCTTTTTAGAAATTATAACTCACAAAGGAATCAGAGAACCAAAAGCCAAGCCGAATTTAAGCAAATTTCAGTACTTTTGCATTTGAAAGAAAACTCAGCAGTTTCTAAAGTTTTTTTCAGTGTTTTCAGTCTCTAAAAATCTGACTTGAGAGTGAAGTAATCAGCCTTTTATAGAGAAGTTTTAGGGCAGCAGAAATAATTTCAGTTTTGCCCTTTACTCCTTTTTTAATTTTCGTTTTTGCTATTCAGTCCTTAATTCAAAAATTAGGTTTTTAAACAAGTCCCAAACCCACCTTCCTAGCAGCTTCCTAAATCAGTTATGAGAGATTCCCTAAACTAAAATCCCTAGACTACCCTTAGAACCCTTGTCAATTACCATCAAACCACATGGGTCAATTCTGACCCAAGACATAAACCACAATGAATGGGTTTCCTTTGAAAATGGTCAGAAATGAACCCAAAGCCCAAACCAAATCAGAAATCAATTTTAGTGATTCAATGAGAAACAGGAAAAGAAACATATGAACGTTTTCAAACTAAAGGCTTGATTGATTTTTAACTAATATAAATAAAACTAGAATTAAGCTAGATGACCAAATCAAACAACATCTAATTAAGCTAATTTATAAGAATAAAACAAAAATCAGAAGCTTAGCATGACCTAAATAAAAGTTAAACATGCAAACGAACAAACCAAACAAAATTAACGAACAACTTTTAAAAATTTAAAAAAAAAAGGAAAAACTGGAAAGCAACGGAATAGATATGAACACCAAACAACCAAAGAAAAGACCTAGATTCAAAAGTTAAAATTTTTACTAAATTCATCAGAAGAAACTAACTAAAGAAAAGTAGAAGAAAGAGAAGGGGAATAGATGGTGAAACAACAAAAAACAGACAGAAAAACTGAAGAAAACGTACCAACTTAACTCGAAATAACGTTGGATACCCTGATTTAAACGAAACTGATGCTAATCACTTGTTCTTTGTCAAGAACAAACGAACAGCATCAATTTTGTGTTGAATCAGACTTCAAAGCTCGAAAAAACCGGAAGCCTATGATCATGCATGCCACGGGTTCAAAGGAAGTTGATTTTGGGGCTTAGGGCTTCAACCTTAGATTCAAGATTCGAACCAGTCTAGAGGGATTTGAGGGAAGTTAGTCAAGGATTGGGAAAGAGGAGGCCATGGGGGTTTTGTGGTGTTAATTTGGGGTTGATTGGAGGCGGCGCCGCCACTAGAGAAGGTGGGGGATTTGGGGCGGCGCTAGGGTTTTTTTGAGGGTCTCTGAAGAGGAGATGAGTGAGAGAGATGGAACGGGGGGGTCAAACCATTCAGACAGTTATATATTTTCAAACAAGTCAGTTCTCGACCGTTTGATCAAGTGAGATCAACGGCTCCGATTGGGGATTGAAAAACGGGGTCGTTTGGTCAATTGAAGGGGCGGACCGGGTATGGGGCGATTTGGGCCTGGATTTGGACGGGTAATGGGCAAAATCGTTTGGGCCTGGGGGAATTTAATCAAAATGGCCCAAAAATCAGCCTTCTCATTTCCTTCTTCTTTTCTTTCAATTTTCAAAATTCTTTTTCTTTTCAAATTAAAATAAAAACCTAAATTAACTCTTAAAAACTAAATTAACCTACCAAATTATATTAAATACTCAACATAATATTTACAGTACTTAGTTAAGTCCTAAATTTAAACAAGAACTATAAAATTCAAAATTAAAGAGTTAAAATGCAAAATGAACTATTTTTTTGTGATTTTTCATATTTTATAAAACAACTAATTTACTAATTAATCAAAAAATGTAAAATTAAATCCTAAATGCAAATGCAATGTATTTTTGTATTTTTCATGAATTAAATAAAATTAAACATGCACAGAAAAATGCAAATAATTAGGAAAATTCTACAATAATCCCTAAAATAACAAACAATTAAAAGCAAAATCTAATTCCTTGGAATCCTGTAGGAGTGATTCATGTGGGGCAAAAATCACGTGCTCACAACTTGTATTGCTTTGATTCGCGTATTACAATGTGTGTTACAGAAGGAAAACTTCTCCTTTATATATTA